ATTCTTTAGGGCAATAGATATAACTATTTCAATGATTATGCTTTTCCGTTCAAATCAATCAATATACTCTAGTCAATGACATAATGTTTTTAACTTGTATAGGAATAAAATGAAAGAATAAAACCAAATACTATGATTTCTATAATTATCTTCATAATAGTAATTTGAAGACATTGATAACAAAGACCATCAAGGGAATAAAAAGAAGGTTTTTTTTTTTTTTTTTTTTACTGCGTAACTTTCGTCAATTTTTAGTACCACAATCTAGTTTATGTAGTGAAAACAATAATAGAAGAAACAAACATTGAAAACTAGAACAACTACACATGTTATCTTAAGCATATGAAAAAAGATAACCAAAAATCCCTCATAATTCATATTGCACCTACGTTTGATGATACAAAGTGCAATTAAAGAGTAGAAGTAATTGATGTAACACCACAAACCTGAAGGATGTGCTTTAAGTGCGGGGTGTCTGTGATTCTGATAGATGAATGTATCTTTTTGTAATAAGGCTCTGAACCTCTGTAATTATTTCCATTTTATGTTCTCACAAGCTATTTATTTCCACAACTCATTGATTCAGAGCCAGAATCAATTTCCTGAAAAACAACCTCGTGCACAAATGTGGTGATTTATTTGCGATTTAATGCAAAAATCAACGATGAAAAAAAACAAACAAAAAGGATAAATCAAAAAATAAAGATTACATAAAAAGAACACATACCGATGGAATGTATCTAATTCTTGCCCGTAAGTCATTCGGTCGTGAACCAATTACACACTTCTCGATCTTTCCTGAGTATCGCATAAGACGAGTCTAGCTTTCACCGGTTTGTTGATGGAGGTTGAACAACAGAGACTGATCTGGGTGGGTGGCTAGAGCTAAAAGCTGTCCTATATAAGCTGCTGGAAAACTTACCAAGTCTTAAATACAACAACGCAAAGTTTAAATCCATCAAGTTGACAAAGTAAAGAACCATATATCACTTTGACATGTGAGATAACTCTAATATAAACAAATGGTATCATTTAATAGCAAATAAACATGACTTAAATCTAAAATAACGAAAGGAGCAAATAGTTTAAATTTACCTAAGCTACAAGGCGAAATGAAATTCTCTAATAAGGAAATAACAAGATGAAATGAAAATAGATACTTTCATTTCCTGCAAAACCAAAAAAAACTATATCATTAGAAGAATGAATTGAAATAGAAAGGCTAAACATAACCTTACAAGATCCACCCCACTCCATCAGGAAGGTAATATTGTAAAACAAATGAACAGTGCAAAAGTGATTAACAACGTGATAAAGAGAGCTTAAGAATATATTACCTTTCATTTCACCTTTAGGATTCACTATGACCCCATAATTGTCTGGTTTAACAAAAAAACACACATTAAATTTCATTGGACCACTGAACGTTTCTAAAATACACAAACAAAATCATAATGCAAAAGCATTTCCATCAAACACCACAAGACAAGAAGTGAAAAGCCAACTAAAGACAATTAGATGATAAGTCATCCTCAACGACATGTTTCACTTGAAATAGATGGAAACTAAATCACACTCTCAAGTATAGAACACATTTTTCATAAGAATATAATTTAGCAAGTGCCTTACATCTATTTCTCAGTAACAACTATGCATCTCACAAATATAATTATTCCAGCTACATTACACATAGATTTTAACTTAAGTAGATTCTACATTAAATTGTGGAGATATATAAATATTTGAAAGTTTAGAAAGCTTAACAAAGTTATCGTCCTCCAAGAATCATTATCACTGTTCTGCACATATTAATTAAATAAACAAACAACACGTCACCACCCCTATACAGACTCAATCTTTCGTTCCATAGGAGACTTATGTTAGTATTAAGAAATCATCGATGGTACTGATTGAAAAGATAACGACACAATATGAAAGTCTAGTTCAGCATGTTTTCTCCTTAACAAAGAAGCTTAACACTTAAAGACTTGCTTAAATTATTCTGAAGCACAAAGCAGAGACAATATGTGACAGAAACTAGCATCGCGAGTATCTACATTGGACGATACGTCACAAAAAATGCAGACTTAGAGTAAACATCTACTTTAGTAACATTGCTACAGAAAGACTCCGAATACATTTCAACATAAACAAGAGAAAACTTCTCAATGAAAGACTTGTACTATATAATAGCATTGCAAGAATCACGGTTCATTAACTTATTGAATCGCAAATCAACAATAACACCATAGCATTCACAACGAATAACTGAAATACACGAATAAATTAATCTG